ATTAGGTACTTAAACCCAGTTTTGTGCTTACCTTTCACATAGGAATAATAGCAAATTATTAAAAAAAACACAACGATAGAGCTTTATGCATGAGAAAACGTGTGAAATCATGAAAAACTATGTGATACTATTGATAAAACAATTCTTTAGTGCCATAAACTGCACTGTGCACATTAGAATAAGAAAAGTTAAGCTAGTCAACATGGATAGAGATTATTCATCTGCCTATTCTCTGGAAGAATATCAAATTTGTATATTTGGGCTTCAGATTTTATCTAATAAGCAATCTAACTAACCTAACTTTAAAGGCAAGGACAGCATAATTATTAGAACGTGAACATGAAAGAGTAGTGCCGAGGCAGTTCCATCAAACCTATGTTACCTTGGATTCAATCAATAAAGGAGCAATGCCAATAGCTGATTTGTTAAAGGCAGTTCAGTGCATCCAATTATAATCTAAATGAAGCGAGGGAAATTGTTGACAACAAAAAATGCACCAACAGATATCTGGCCCACTCGCGTCCTTGTAAGCTAATTCCGACACGTGTAGACGAGTTTCTAGTCAAACATGTTACGGGTTTGAACGTGGGAGAAGATTTTAGACACGAGACAAATACATTCAAACTCCGGTAAATATATAAACAAAAGTGTACGATAATGAATGATCGATAAAGAATCAAGCTTAAGATTAAGATCACACCATAAACTCTTCAAAGACCATATATTTATAAAGATGGAGTACATGAGTTGTGAATAACAATTCTTCATCCCATTTTAATGACACTAAGGGGATATATTTATAGTGTTACATATATAATAATAACCACTAGACGAGAAGACACGTGGCTCCATCCCCTTAACCAAATCATCACATTCTGACTTCACTAGCCAACGACGCATTAAATGTCCCTTAAGAAGGCGGCTACCCCATACCCTATGTTGTCAAGAATGACCTTTTTATCTCATTTCAGTAGTCCATCAATCATTCTAAAAGGAATTTTTTACAAATTTAAGATCTTCAAACGTAGGTCATCATTTGAGCTTCAGATTCCTCTTCAGTGGCCTTGTGTATAGCTCCTGCATAAGGGCTTCGGCAGATGTAGGGCCTCACCAAGAGTTGGCCTTGGCCTTTTGGGCTTTGACCAAGATGGGCTTTCTTGGGCTTCGACCAATTTGACGTAACAATAATCCCCCAAGTCTAAGTATAGAAATTTAGGTCGTGGTTGGAGTTTGATACTGAACCGGTTGAAGCTTCTCCTTTTTTGTTGTAGCTGAAATTATCATTTTGAGCCGGAGCAGGGAAGTCATGAATTGCAGAGGCTCCTTGGTTGTAATTGAAGTTCTAATTTTGAGCTTAAGCAAGGAAGTGCTGAACTGGTGATGCTCATTTTTAGTTGTTGCTGAAGTTTTCATTTTGAGCCGAAGCAGGAAAGTGCTGAACTGCTGAGGCTCCTTTTTAGTTTTGATTGAGGTTTTCATTTTGAGCCGAAGTAGGGAAGTGCTGAACTTCTGATGCTCATTTTCACTTCTAGCTGAAGTTTATTATGGATAATTGTGCTAATGATTTGATGTTTTTGCATATTACTAAGAAAAAACAACTGCAGCATTGCAACTTCCAATACACACCCAGTCGTTACCCATTGAATGTGCAATGATGATCACCCTGCTACATTTTTATGTTGACACGTCGAACCTCATATGTGAGAAGCACGCGTCAATCTAAGCGTGAATGAGAAAACTGTTTGAATTCAACGCCTCAGATATATTTAAAAAATGGACGCTTTAGATAAAAAAAATCCAGATCCAATGATTGAGCTTTGCCCTTTTCTCCTATAAAAGCTAAAATTTCACTTACATGCTAGTTTTCACTTTTGAAAATCTCCAAATTTCTCTAACATTCATAAACTTCTCCGGTCACTCATTTATCTGGCGACGCCACATTCCTAGTGCACCTTCTTCGTTTAGGTAATCCCCGCACTCTATTTTCTTCCTCTCCATCTTTTTTTTACACCAATGGCATCTGGTTCAAGTGTTAACGGTGGGAGGGTAACTGTTGCCAAGGTAAGAGGTTCTTTTGGGGTGTCAGAAAGTGGTTACTGGGCCATGAGTGAGGGCCTAATAGAATATGAGGTTGAGTGGGGGTTGCTAGGATCCATTCTGCTATGACCTCCAAAATATTAGTTGAAATTAGGAAAAAGTATAGAATCCCTGATGGCATAGAACTCCTAGTACCCGAAGCCCACGAACGAGCTTACTATCCGAGGCGGGATGTGTGGCTGTTAGCTAATTCTTATTCAAGGCAGGTATGCACCTACCTCTATACCTATTTTTTAGGACAGTGCCGAGGTCACACATGTTGGGAAGGCCCCTCCACGTCTTTGACCCTCTTTCAACCTCAAGTACTTGGGAAAGGGGAGTCTAAGAATGTGTAGTATATTATATAACACCCTGGGAGGCTCATTCCCCCTTCCTAGTAGATCTGCCATCTTCCATCAAGAGGTGGAAGGAATCATGGTTCTAGGTAAAAGAAAAGTGGCAGACAGTTGAGGGAAACGAAGCCCCAGCCTGTACTGTAGTGACCTAGTAGTCCGGAGCTCGTAAGTAACTTTCACTTTAGATTCATCACTTGCGTGTAATTTTATCTAATGTATTTTTGTTTTGCAGATTCAGGATCCCGTTTCGAACTGTCTCAAGCTGAGTGTGACGTCATCGTGGACATATACAAACATCCCCAAAGGTCATGCCACTTTAACCCTTTAATCGACATGAGCAAGTTCTTTCTAGACTTCGGACTCATAGCCTCCAAAGGTAAATACCGAAGCCCTATATGAGTATACAGTATCTGGTACATGTTTTAACATGTTTATTGTTTGCACATGATTTTGGAAAGATGAAATATCCTACCCCGACATGGCTTCTATCTTGAAGGCCATCTCCACTGTTAGCTCCCGGGTGTTGAAGCCCTCCTTTAGAGGTGCTAAACACGTGAGAGGCAAATTGAAGTGCCTCTACAAGGAGCACGGGGATAGAAATGAAGATGAGGGGGCCTAAAGAGTTGACAAGGGTAAAGGAAAAATGGAGAAGCCCCAAAAGAGAAGGAAGTTGTCCTATGGAATTGACCCTACTTCTGGGAAGTTTGGGATCACTGT